ATGGTGAAAGAGAGAGAGAAATAAAAGATTCGCACAGCATAGAACACATAGAACACATATTTCAATTTGCTGTTACAGCAAGGTAATTTTATTTTAAATCATATTGAATAGAAGGGTGGGGGGTCAATACATGTATATATTCCGAGAGCTTAGTTTTGGTTTAATGAAGATGTCTTGAAAAAAAAACTGACTCACGAAGAGATATGATTGCCCACAACAGAAAGAGGCAATCTAACTTCGTTGGTTATGTCATGAAAAGGAGAAAATTATAACACAATGTGACGGTAAAGGTTAGAGGAAACAAGAGGAAGACCGAAATAGAAGACGCTAGACGATTTGATATCTCCGCATGGAAGATCATCTGTGTCCGAAATAAAAAAAGAACGTACAGAAGAAAGAAGGTTGCAGTCAAACATGCCAACCAACCTTATACGACATGAAAGTACAGGAGAAAGAAGGATGCAGGTAAACATGACAACCAACGTCACACGGTATGGACGTACAGGAGAAAGAAGGTTGCAGTTAGACATGACAACCAACGTCATACGGTATGGACGTACAGGAGAAAAAAGGTTGCAGTTAGACATGACAACCAACGTCACACGGCATGGACTATAAGAAGAAGAAGAAATGTTGGTTTGTTTCAGAATTTGAACTGGAAATGACAACTTTTGCCTATCGGTGTTCGTTGGATGATTCATACAGACCAGTAAAGAATCTGCGTTTGTACAATAATGATAGTCCAGCGGCTTTTGATCAGGGGCCTATCAAGAAGTAGTAGTAGAATGAGGAGTTATAGTAGTAATAATAGTAGTAGTACTAGCAGTGGTGGGGATGATGGTGGTGGTGGTAGCTGTTGTATTAGAAATAGTAGTTATAGACACCTAACGTTAAGTTATTTATTCGGTTTCATTACTGAACATGCATTGCTTTACTTCCACTCCACACATTACTTGTTTCCCACCAACAAGGGAACTCAGTCAAGACATGACATGAATACTGTTCGTGTATACCTACTACTGGCGGTTACCGCAGCCCTCGGCTGCTGCGTCAAGTCACAGAATGACAACAGACACAAGCGTGATTTTGTCAATGGCAACATTATTCAAACGACCCTTGGAGATTTGGCAGGCAACACGAAAAAAATTCAAGTCAGAAATTCTGGAGCGATCGCCGTGGATGTATTTTGGGGCATACCGTACGCGAAACCTCCTGTTGGAGATCTCAGATTTAAACGCCCCCAGCGGCCTGACATGTGGAACGGATTGTTTTATGCAGACAAACCACCAAACACCTGTGTCCAGGTAAGACGGGGTAAAATAATACTTACAGACAGTTAATTGTATTATCGACCTTGCAGTAAAGTGAACCACGAACTGGAACAACAAACCTCCCCCTCCCCCTACCCCAACCCCATCCCTTTCCCTCCCCTTACAGCATCCGAGAATGAAGAAAGCACACACAAATATCTAATACAAGTATGTTTATCCCCACCCTTTGCTACCAGTGCCAGACATGGTCACTCACAAGAAACCACAAAGAAAAATTAGTAACCACGGAAGTGAAATGTCTGAGAATGGCTTCGGGAGTGACCAGAAGAGATAGCATCAGGAATGAGGTCATAAAGGAAACAGTTGACTGGAATGCCCCTCCTTTCATGCAGACAGGAGCGTTGCAATGGCACGAGACCTCGGTTGCCCCAGTAGAATATAGGAATAGCGACTATATACGCGAAATGTTCCCAAATGGGTAACACACACTTTCGTTTGGCTGACACCGTCTTTTTTTGCCGCTTGTTAATCTTTCTAGGGATTGTTCTCCAGCAAGGTCGACCTCATGGTCAGTCAAACACTTATAGCAACTTACCTTGTTTTACCATGCAGACTCTATCTGCTCACCCTTGTTTTTAGCTTCGCAAAATTTATGTTTCCATTCACTGGACAATCGGCTGGTTCCATTCTATCTTTATGTCACCAATTTGTGGTCAGAACCTCTCTTTAGATGTCCGTTGCTGTTTTCAACACAAATGTTGTAATTACCAACTTTCCCGCCCGATTGCATATTGTTTGTCCAGGTATCTCGTGAAGAGTGATCTCACGTTCTCTTTGCCTAAACTATTTCCTTTTCTTTGCGTGCAATTCTTTCCACAGTGTTCCCAGGTCGACGTTAGTGTCAACTTATTTGCATTTCACGACTTCTCGTGTGGTGAAATTTGGCTAGAGCTTTTTTTTTTTACCTGGCCTTTCACCTATAACATAATTATTAGGGGCTCACTAAACAGTCTCGTTGTATTTGCACATAATAAATTTTAAATTACAAACAATGAAAACAATAGAGAGAATACCGTGTGACAGCATGTCATACAAGGTATGCGCCAAAAGAGGAGAAGAGAGCAGAGCACGATTTGGAGCAAGAAAAATAGGCGAAGAAAGCATCAGAGAAACTCTACAACAGCACGATGGGTCTATGGTCGGGGCGGCAAGAAGAGCAAAAAGAAGAACCTTATAGTTCTCTCGACATCCGAGCAGTAAAAAAAGGACAATGAAGGGAAGGGAAGGGTGAAGAAGAAGAAGAAGAAAAAGAAGAAGAAGAAAAAGAAGAAGAATAATAAGAAGAAGAAGAAGAAGAAGAAGAAGAAGAAGACAGACAGACAGACAGACAGACAGACAGACAGACAGACAGACAGACAGACAGACAGACAGACAGACAGACAGACAGACAGACAGACAGACAGACAGACAGACAGACAGACAGACAGACAGACAGACAGACAGACAGACAGACAGACAGACAGACAGACAGACAGACAGACAGACAGACAGACAGACAGACAGACAGACAGACAGACAGACAGACAGACAGACAGACAGACAGACAGACGGGCAGGCAGGCAGGCAGGCAGGCAGACAGACAGACAGGCAGACAGACAGACAGACAGACATACAGACAGACAGACAGACATAAAGAAAGAAAGAAAGAAAGAAAGAAAGAAAGAAAGAAAGAAAGAAAGAAAGAAAGAAAGAAAGAAAGAAAGAAAGAAAGAAAGAAAGAAAGAAAGAAAGAAAGAAAGAAAGAAAGAAAGAAAGAAAGAAAGAAAGAAAGAAAGAAAGAAAGAAAGAAAGAAAGAAAGAAAGAAAGAAAGAAAGAAAGAGAGAAAGAAAGAACGGACGAATGAACGAACGAACGAACGAAAGAACAAATGAATGACCATTATTTCCAAGAGGTTACAAACTGGGCACGCAGCCTGTGTTTCATTCAGACCTTTCGAACTCTCATCTTTTACACGGCAATGGTATTACATGTATAGGAGCGGGATGGGTCCTCGTGCTGCAAGATAGGACCCCAGTAGAAACGTCATGCTTCTCCGAAAGACTCTCAACAAACTTCAGAGCAGCAAGCAATTATTAGATTCAGCCAAAGTGCCAGAGGAACGAAAAATTAAAAACAGCAAAAATGTTTTCCTGCATGTCAGTCCTCCAGGCGACTCATGGGGGATTCACGGGACAACGTGAAGAGAAAACTAATCCGCCAGCTAAACAGACTCGCAGAAAACAGTCAAATCGTTCTGCAGTGGATCCCGGCTCACTGTGGCATATCAGAAAATGAGTGAACAGACAGACTTGCAAAAAATAGAACAAAGGAGAAACAACAACCCCATTCATTGTCATTACCAGAAATCAGAACACTTATCAAGGGAAAATACAAGGAGTTGTGGAGAGGATAAACAAACAGTAAACATCAACAAGACCCCATCAGCAGACTGAACAGAAAGCAACATACAACAATTTTCCGTCTACGAACAGGATACTGCAGGTTCAACCTCCGCATGAATAAAATAAAAATTGTACAGTCCCCACACTGTGCCTGTCAAACAGGACCACAAACACCTGAGCACATTCTTCAGACCTGCGCACTCTACCAACAACTTCGAAAAGACACCTGGCCTCAAGAGCAAAGTGTGCAGAGCAAGCTATGGGGAACCATGACGGACCTGCTACTGACATGCGAGTTCATAGAGGCAACCCCCCTGATGGTCTGATCTGAGCATACGAAACCGAATGCAAAGAAGAAAAAGAAGATATATATCAATATATTTATGTTCGAATATCAAAGTTCACAGTATGAATGTAAAGTAAAAATGCAAACATAGATGGATGAAAAATGCATAACATTTTATTTACATACAAAAATACACGCTAGTCAGACAGACACATGGCAGAGACACAAGCTAGGTAGACCTACAGACACAAACGATACACACAACGGTAATCTCCCCACGCCTCGCCCATATACACACTAGCTCATTTCTGATTGGTAGTTCCTGAACCTGTCACTTTGGCACAAGGTTACGGTGGTGTTCCGCAGTGCTGTTGATATCGCTTGTTGCATATTTCAGCACGCCAGCGCTTTTAACACTCCAAAAACATGGAGAAACTGGCCCTAACACAACCCCCCTAGAGATTGCTGCAACCTATGTTGCAGGCATTCTGTTTCTCGGAATGAAAACGTAAATGCAAGATAACACAGAAAGCAAACAACAGAGCGGGACACACCAGTAACCTTCAGGAAAGTCGACCAACCCAACAAACTTGTGAATGAAAAGTTACCCACTCTATTTGGGGAGATTAACGTTACCTTAACCACACAAACACCCACACACACACTCACACACACACAACAGGGTTAGGTTCAAGTAAATCTCCCCAAACAAAGTAGGTCACTTGTGAGTGTATATGGGCAGGGCGTGGGGAGATTAACGTTACGTGCACCGTCGTAGGTATAGCTAATAACTGCCCTTCGGTACACGTAACGGGTTAGGTTCATGTAAATCAACGTCACTTGTTTGGGCACAATTATTGTCGTTGATATTGCTATTTCCCCTATCTCCATAGTTTTCAAGTAGGGATTTTTTTTTTTAAATCTTATTGCATGATGAATTAGCTCCTAACTCATTACCTCACTCCCATTCGTCGTGTTGATGCATGTTATCACATGGGTAGGTACGTGGCAACGATTCGATCCTGACTGACAGTCAACCACCAACCCGGCTGAGCGAGGACTGTCTCTACCTGAATATCTGGAGGCCCAGATGCCCTGACGCTGAGCCGGACATGGCAACGATGTTTTGGGTCCATGGTGGATCGTTTATAACTGGGTCCTCGGCGGATCCTGTTTACAACGGCGCAAAATTGGCTGCCTCTGAGTGTGTGATCGTTGCATCTGTGAATTACAGGTATAGTTTAGATTGCTGACTGAGTGAAAAGAAGTACGTGTAATATACGCAAAGAAACAGTTATCTTGAAATCCTATCCTCTAACTGAGCAAGACTTTACTTAACGCGAGCGGGTCTTACTCTCCATTATCATGGGTTAGGAATTTATATGCCTTCCTATAGGACTATGGTTCTATCACAATATCTCCCCCCAAGCAGATTGTCGAATATTTTACGGGGTGGTGGATAGACTGCATGCAGTGGTGGGACCTAGGCTGCACTCTCTCGTGGGACGTAGGTGGCTTAGGGTTAGACCCAGTTCTAGATGTTTTGGGGTAGTTAAAAGCACCAGAAAGAAGGGAAACCTACTCTTACCACCCTCGAAAATATTGGACTATCCTGTGACGTCATCCTGAGAGAGATATTGGGAAAGCACCAGCACTATTGAACACTATAGTCTGAAAGGACAGAGAAGTTCCACTAAAAGAGCTCACTGAATTATTCCCCCACCCTTACCTTTTAGGGCTTCTTCTTCTTCTTCTTCTTCTTCTTCTTCTTCTTCTTCTTCTTCTTCTTCTTCTTCTTCTTCTTCTTCTTCTTCTTCTTCTTCTTTTTCTTCTTCTTCTTCTTCTTCTTCTTCTTCTTTTTCTTCTTTTCTTCTTCTTCTTCTTCTTCTTCTTCTTCTTCTTCTCTTTCTTCTTCTTCTTCTTCTTCTTCTTCTTCTTCTTCTTTCTCTTCTTCTTCTTCTTCTTCTTTTCTTCTTTCTTCTTTATCTTTTTCTTCTTCTTCACTTCCCGTGTTACCACTCGAAGAAAATATAAGGTTCTGCTGCTTGCTCTTTTGCCGCCTCGACCACACAGATACATACTGCTGATGCTGAGTTTTCTCTGATGTCATCTTTCTTCCAGGCCACTAACTGAAAGCTTTACCGTCCCATTGACTCAATGAGCCAGTCCATCAAGACAAATCCCACATATACGTTCATCCTCAGAAGAAGTTCAGACTTGGGTACTTGTTAATGGCTACCCTATGTGATACCTCTGAATATACTGCTGTCCTGTTGGGTGGAGGGGTTAATTAAATTTACCAAAGCTAGATATGTTGACTTAATCAAGTAACAGAAAGTATTGTGAACGACACTCATAAAAAGAAGTAGAAAGACAGAAGAACACACTAGACAACATAGAAATCGAAAGCTATAGTTACCGTGCCGGAAATTGAACCTGTCGCCTCCAGACGGCGTCTGCGCCTCGCCGTGAATACAAGTGCACTAAGATACATGGTCAACTAGGCACCCCCCAAAAAAGGTGTCTTATTGACCATGTCTGTCGTACAGCTTGAAATCCACAACTATGGAATACGGACAGAATTCATTTCAACCCATTGAAATGGCACCATAGGTTACAGAAATGGGGACTGAGTGGTCTGAGTGCTGGAGGTCCTGGGTTCAGATATGGGGACTGAGTGGTCTGAGTGCTGGAGGTACTGGGTTCAGAAATGGGGACTGAGTGGTCTGAGTGCTGGAGGTACTGGGTTCAGATATGGGGACTGAGTGGTCTGAGTGCTGGAGGTACTGGGTTCAGATATGGGGACTGAGTGGTCTGAGTGCTGGAGGTACTGGGTTCAGATATGGGGACTGAGTGGTCTGAGTGCTGGAGGTACTGGGTTCAGATATGGGGACTGAGTGGTCTGAGTGCTGGAGGTACTGGGTTCAGATATGGGGACTGAGTGGTCTGAGTGCTGGAGGTACTGGGTTCAGATATGGGGACTGAGTGGTCTGAGTGCTGGAGGTCCCGGGTTCAGGCCACGGTGAAGGCTGGGATTTTTTTCACGTGTACTTTAAGTAATTTCTCTTTGTCTATGGGTAGTAAGATCGGACGCCCGTGTGTATTGTTGCGCACGTTTTTAAAAAAATCCCTTGGCAGTAAAAAATCGAAAAGAGTAGCTTAACGGCGCTGGCTGGGCAAAGTTTGGAATTTAAAATCTCCACAAAGTAATTCAGGATCCTCGCCGATGCTACGGAGTTTCGTGTCTGTGTGTTTTCGCCTCTCTGTTTATACGTACTGATGACTGCTTTAAGATTCGACCTAATAGCACACCGGGCATACCCATAAATGCTCCGTCTTCAGCAGCAAATGTTTTAAGGTGCAGATTTACATGTTCCAGTAGCACACTGATAGTTATTTCTTCTTCTTTCGTTTGCCTGAAATAAGTTGTCTATATCAGCAGTTTTGTCTCTTGTATAAATTTCTCTGTCGTTGTTAGTTCATTCAGTGGTCCATAGAGTTTACGTTCCACTGTTGTTCTTTCTGGCCAAAAGGTTTGTCTTAATGTGTCAAAATCGGTGCAGTCCTGGAGTACATGCTCTGCTGTCTGGGGCACATTTCCGCAGGTTCATATGGCTGATACACCTATCTTGAATTGTGTGTACATGTGGTTACGTAATCGGTTGTGCCCTGTTCTGAGGCGGAGGATAATGACTTGTTCTGGTCTGTCCATAATAAAATAGTCGTCTTGTGCTGGGGCTGGTGGTTTCCTGATCGATTTAATTATTCTTTTCTTTTAATGGTATGTGACTGGTACATCTTTTGTCGCACCTTCCCCTGCCAGTTGATCAGCTTTTTCATTTCCAGGCACTCCACAATAAGACGGTATCCACTGCATTACGACTCTTCGCTGAACGCTGAGTTGTGTCAGCAGTGTTTGCAATTCTGGTAGTTTCCTAGACTGGAGTGCTTCAAGTACTGATTTAGCATCTGTCTGCATTACCACATACTGTGAGCCAAGGTTGGTATTTAACAGTTTCTCTGTAGCTATCTTGATAGCCTGGGTTTCTGCATCGTAGTTATGGCAGTACTTCCCGGTTGGTACGCTGGACTTATTCCTAGTACCATCTGGGAATTCGATGTACACTCCAGCGCCACCATTTCTAACTGCACTTTCTGCGGACCCATCTGTATAGACTCTGACCAATTGTTCTTGTGGGTATCTTCATCAATATAACTGAGGGTGGCAATTTTGCGTTGTACACTATCTTGCTCTTTCTTGTCAAATAGCCCTTTCACATTTGTCTGGATTTGTACCGTTAGTTTACATTTTTCTCTCCATGGGGTTTGTTCCGGAATACTTTTAAGTGGGCAACCAATTTCTGGAAGGTCAGGAGTTTGTCTACACATTCTTTTTGCTTGGTGTATAAAGCTGCTTCTTTTTAACCGTCCCAAGGCTAGGTTCTTAAATCTATTTTCCATCGGGTGATCTGGCATACTGAGGAACTTTTCAGCTTGTATTTGCAACTTTGTATCTCTGCGTTCTCTCAGTGCCTGTGTTTTCCCAGCTTTCTCCATTTCTAATATGGGGGGTTGATTTCATCCTTCCTGTGATGACTCTGAGCGCTTGATTTTGCACTTTGTCTAACTCCTTTAATGTGGTACTAGATGCTGAACACCATGCAGTTGACCCATATTCCAAGTATGGAAGTATGCTCTGCTTGTATACTTTATTGAGTATTTTCCCATCGGCTCCCCATGTGGTTCCACTTAGTTTTCATAGTATTGCTGTTTTCCTCATGGCTTTGGTTGCTGCCTTGTTGATATGTTTTCTCCATGTCAATCTGTCATCAAATGTGACTCCTAGGTATGTGGGCTCTTTATCATCTCTCAGGGGTATTCCGTTTATTTTGATGGTGCCAGCTTTTTTGCTTTGGGGAGAGGGTGAATAGTGTGGTGCTACATTTGTCTGTGTTGATGCTGACACGCCATCTATTGGCCCATGCCTCAAGTGCATTTGTAGCCCACTGATAGCTCACACGTCATTCTCTTTCTCTCGCAAAAAAAAAAAAACCCCTCTCTCATATTCACTCGCAAACAGTATATCCCCGTGAGTCCATACAATTTACACGTGAGCTACTTGTTGTCCACAGTTGTTCATTTTGAACCTTTTCCCAATACCGACTGAGAATCAGACATTGTGAAAGTTTTTTTTTAAAGGAAAGGGAAAAAGAAATGACGTCATCGCGTCCTCATCATCATGTAGAGGGTCCTTTGCAGAACGTCGCTCTCATCACAGTCCGCCAGCTCTCCCCGCCTCATCTATTTTCATGCTCAAGGAGTAACTTATATCCTGTGCCCATCTTCGTGTCGGTCGGCCCCTGTCCTTCCCTCTTGGCACCATGCTTTCTGCTAGGAAAAAAATATGTAACTATTCTTGGCGTGTTTTTTTTTTAAGGCTATTTACTTTTTGTTTTAGTTTTTTTGTATGAGGTTGCCAGTCACTTCACTTCTTTAAAATGGGGTTGTGACTTGAAAAATGTTAAGAACCACTGTCCTATCGGAATATAATAAGCAAGTAAAAGTCCTTTTCCCCATCATAGACACATCTAGAATATGTTACTAGGAATTAGGTGTTCAGCGTCAAATTTGGCCACTTTTACTTCCCTGGACATTATCTAGTACTTTTTTTTAGGCTGCGTTGACCTGGGAGCCACTGTCAATGTTGAAAAAACAAAATCCACCCCGATCGATACCGACTTGAACCTTAGATCCTCGGACTGGGGTGCCAGCGTTTTGCCATTACGCTACCGCTGCTACAGTTCTCAACCTGTAGGTCGCGATCCCTTTGGGGTGTCGAACGACCATTTCACATGGTTCGCCTAGGACCATAAAAAAACAGAAATTCGTTGAAGTTATGAAGTAGCAACGAAAGTAATTTTATGTTTGGGGGGTCACCACAACATGAGGAACTGTATTAAAGGGTCGCGGCGTTAGAAAATTTGAGAACCACTGCGTTGTAACACTGACTCTAAAACAGCTCATACAAAGGTGTCCTGGCTTTGGCATCTCCTGTGGTGCGAACCCCCCCCCCCCCCACACCCACACACACCCATACATACACACACATACCCACACACACCCCCACACACACCCTCGCACACCCACACACACTCTCACATCCTCACACACACATACACAAACACACATCGACACCCACAACCACACTTACACACACACCCCCACACACACACA